TTTTTGGTCATTCAGCAATAGCATTGATGCTGCGTCTACAGCTCCCACACTGAAGTTTTGCCTTGTAGCAGGCTCACAGAAAAGACAAAGATGGTCCAGTGTCCCACAGTGACAAGAGACTAAAATTGCTTCTCCAGAACTTGAAATTCTCTATGACTTTCAACAAGTTCTTTAGGATGGTGACCGAGAAAGCTGGCAACCTTGCAGGACTACATCATGAGATCGGAAGTAGCCAGCATAAAGGTTTCTGCTTCTTCTAAGGTCACTAGCGTAGATTAACTTCTCTAATTCAGGGTGACTGGCATATATTGCTCAAGATGCAAGCCTTGCTTGCTTCTTGCTTTTTTTCTTCTAATCTTCCTGCACAATTAGAATGGGGTTTCTGATGTCTACTATGTCACAGTAGAGTCCTGCACAGGACAGTTTCTCAAAGATTCTTCTCCTCTGGCCATCACACAGTTACACAGTTCTTCCTGTCCCCACATCTGGGGCTTGGAGCTTGTGGCTGCCACTCCCATCTTGAAGTGATAAAAGATGGGTGCCTGTGTATGTGCTTGTTTGTGTGTACATATGTAACAGTTTTTCTTTTGGGTATAGCCCATGCATGTACTCAAATCAGGCAGCAAAGTTGTGGTTGTGCAAGAAGAGCTCCATTTGTCATTGGGGAACTGTGTGGTAAAACCACAAAGTGTGCTGTCCCACCTGCTGGTTCCCCAAAGGGAAGGATGCAAATTCTTGTGTGTTTTTGGTTTCCCTTCATGGTAGGAGAGGTAAACAGCTTGAGGGGAATACATGGTGCTGTTGTTGTCATTTTTTTTCCCCCAGAATGAGAAACTCTCAATGAATAATTAAATTCTGAGTCACAGGAAAAAGCTAAAATGAGAACCTAACTTTCAAAACGAAAGACCCAGTGTTTAAGACCCTCAAATTTGTTGCCTCTGTAAATCAAGCTGCAGTCTTGTATGAGTGATGGTGATGAGTGCAGCAGGAGGAGGGAAAAGAACTAAACTACAGTGGAAAGGGAGCAAAGCGAATGCAGAGTCAGAGCTTCCCCTCTGCGGCAAAGCCATGAGTTTCCTGAGTTAATAGAGATATAATTTAGTGAAGATGTGAAAAAGACACTCTGCTACCTCTTTTTCTAATTTCTTATAATTCGCTACATGTTTTCAGAATCTGAATAGACTCATTTGCTGCAGACCTAGTCCAGTTAAATTTTGACTGAGACTTGAAGAGGGGCAGGTTGATAACACAAATTTGTATATTAACTAGATAGCCTCCAGAAAAAGTATGGCAACTTCAATGAGAGACATACTCTCTTAAGTTGGTTTTACTACTTAGAGGTAGCCTCACACCCGATTAAATATTTTGCTGCCCATTTTACCATATAATCCAGTGACTCGTTCACTATATAGACCTGATTAATTGAAGAAAAATATAGCTTCTTATCGCTGACATTATGAGGTTAGAAATAGCATCCTATGCTAATCTGCAATGCCAAGAAATGAAGATGGTTTAAATCAGATCTCATGACTAATGCATAAGATCCAAAGTTCTTTTATTCCTGGCTATTTTAGAAAACTGGGGTGTATTTTTACCCTAAAAACTAATTCTTAAGATTTATTGAGATAATACAAAATGCCTTATAATTAACATCTCACAATCAAGATGTACGGTCTACTGATTGTCAGAGAAATGACAATTTCTCCATTTTAATTTAAAAAATATGTATATGCAATGGTTTAAGTCCATATTCAAGAATATTTGATCTTTAGTTGTTATTTTTTAGACAATATCGGGAAAGACAATGTGCCTTAATAAAATGGAAAGTTTAGATTGATTTCTGCAGTTGCTAGTACATTTTAATTGTACTTCATTGAAACAGAAAGAAATATATCTAGCAATACAATAGGCCTGTTATTTTTGCTTGTTTTTGTTTTGGTCACGACAAACTGTGAAATGCTGTATTTTTTCTATAGTTCTAGTCCATGAAATCTGCAATCTTTCCACTTGATTTACAAAGGACCCTTAATTACTGCTGTCACTAGCACCTAGTGTTCAAAACAGTCTGTTTAAATGTACTGTTAGTCTCACCTCCAAGTCCCTGCTTGCTTTATTTTTTCCAAGGGTAAGTGAAACAACAATTGACTTAGTAACAACAATCATTATGTACGGAGAATTAAATAATATTACACATTTTTGATGCCTATTTATATTTATTTAGAATTTGGTATTTGTGCGTTCAGACTGGCCTTGACTTAGAACAAGTGTCCATAAGCAGCGCTGTTACTAGTGTGGATTTACTGCTTGGGTTTTAAAAATAAGTCACTCATTTGCCTTTTTCTTTCCACATGGATAGGGATGACAGACAACTGCTGTAAAGCTTCAGTGTTTCTGCCTGGTCATGCACAGTTCTGCAATATAATGCATAAATGTATAACAACTTGGTCTCCTTGATACCTCCCTTGGAATAAGGAAACCCAACCAGGCGCGTCCCCGCGCAGGCGCGCGCGCGTACACAGACACACACACACACACACACACACACACACACACACACACACACAGACACACACACACACACACTCACACACGCTCTCACGCACACACACAGGTCAAAAGTTGATTTGTTTCTGAGATCCCCCAGAATCTTTCTTCTCCCCGTTGCAGGGGCTCCGGACTCCTCCGCAGGGCGGTAGTGAGGTTGGGGGCGTGGGAGGGGCGCGGGGCGCCGTGGCGGCGGAGGCGGGAGCCGGGTGCCGGTGCGAGCCGCGCCCGCTCCTGTCGGGTGCGAGTCCGGGCCGGGTTTTGCGCCGTGTCCGCGGGCTTGTCTCACGGCCTCCAGCCGCCGCCGCTGCCGTGTTTACTGAGCTCGCGCGTCCTGATATCACTCCGCTGGCATGGAGGAGGAGGAGGAGGTGGAGGAGCGAGAGGAGGAGGAGGAGGAGGCGGCGGCGGCGGCGGCGGCGGCGGCGAGCAGTTGATCATTGTGATGGTGGCAGGAGCAGCGGCGGCAGCGGCAGCCCAGCCGAGCGTTAGGGGCTGCTCTCCGCGCGGCGTTTTGCAAAGGACTTCACCGATCTACTTTTGCAGTCGCCTCGGACTGGCCATGTGTTTACTTCCCCCAGCCCGAGGATTCGATATCTAGGCTCCTGTGAAATGCAACTGAGCAGCCAAAGTACTTTGAGAACACGGGGCGGCATAAACACCAAAACTTTTTTGTGGAAGGAAAATGCAATAAGCAAGCTTGCCGTTTACCGATGCGGTGTGGAGTGAGTGTGTGTCGCGCGTGTCCGCACTGGAGGCATATGCTTGTGTGTGTACATGGGGTGTGTTTTTCGGTACGTAGGGAGAAAATGCTTGCCAACCACCGGAAATCTCCTGGAATTTATTAGAAAATAATGGATTATAAAAAGAAGGCAGGCGAGGAGCGGATCTCCCCTTGAGTTGCAACCCGATTTGCTGCTGGCTCAGTTTGTTGTGATTCTTTTTGTTGATAGGTGTCTGATGGTATTCCGATAACGTCCCCCTCTTTTTTTCCCCTCGAGCTTTTACAGTTTAAAAAAAGGAAACAACCACCCCAAAATCTTCCCCCCCCCTTTTTTTTCGCCCCGTCGGGATCGCCGTTTCCATCCATGTGCTTGCGTCTCCCCCGCGTTCCACTTAAACTATTTTAATCCTTGGACCCAAGGAGGAGGCTGATAGGGGGGTGGATAAAAAAAGTTCTTCCAAAATAGTGTGCCCGGGGAGCAGGATGGGGGATTTCGCAGCCCCCGCTGCTGCCGCGAATGGCAGTAGTATTTGCATCAACAGTAGCCTGAACAGCAGCCTCGGCGGGGCCGGGATCGGTGTGAATAATACTCCCAATAGTACTCCCGCTGCTCCGAGTAGCAATCACCCGGCTGCCGGTGGCTGCGGCGGCTCCGGGGGCCCCGGCGGCGGCTCGGCGGCCGTTCCCAAGCACAGCACCGTGGTGGAGCGGCTCCGCCAGCGCATCGAGGGCTGCCGGCGGCACCACGTCAACTGCGAGAATAGGTACCAGCAGGCTCAGGTGGAGCAGCTGGAGCTGGAACGCCGGGACACCGTGAGCCTCTACCAGCGGACCCTGGAGCAGAGGGCCAAGAAATCGGGCGCCGGCACCGGCAAACAGCAGCACCCGAGCAAACCCCAGCAAGATGCGGAGGCTGCCTCGGCGGAGCAGAGGAACCACACGCTGATCATGGTGAGGGCGCACGGGCTCGGGGCGCGCGTTGGGGGTGGTGGTGGTGGGGGGTGTGTGGAGCTTTCTTACATAGGGGTACGAGAGTCTGATTTGCACGGTGGGTGAGGTGGGCTGAAGCCGAAGGGTTAACGTCAACTTTTCTTAGGGAAAAAGCTGCAATCGCCGCTACCTGTTAAGCTGTCAGGGTTGTCAGATTTGGGGAGGAGAGGGTGAGAGGGGAGAAGCCAGTCACGACTGCGAGGGGCGGAGGGAGCCTAGAGGAGTGTCGGAGTGAGATGCTGGAAAAGTTTCCCCCCGCTCCCTTTCTTAGATACCAATTTGAAAGAGTGAACCCCCGAGTTGAAACCTTGCTCCTCCTCTTCGCCGCTCCCCACTCCACCTCTCCCCGCACCGCCTCGCCTCCCCAGACCTGTCCCTCTACGCCCACCCCTCTCTGCACATTCGCCGCGTGCAAGGAGATATTGATGCTGTCGCAGATTCTGGGCGGGCACCAGGCCCTCAACCCCTAAGGGGAAGCGGGGGAAGGAGAGCCTCTCGTCTCCTCTCCCCAGCTAACCCCCTTTGGGCTGAGAAAGTCTGAGAGTTTTGTGAATGAACTTTGAAGTGGGTGAGAAACGAGCGAGGGTGGCTGCGCGCGGGGGTGCTCGCGGGAGCGCGCGCGGATGCGGAGCGCGAGTGCGCTCCGCTCTTTGCTCGAGACTCGGGGCCGGCCCGGCAGGTGGAGCGGCTGGGAGGGTTAAGAGGGGAGCGGCTTGGAGGCGGCGGGAGGGGAAAGCAATACCAAAGGTTTGCGCCAAGAAGCCCCACCACACTATTTCGCTTGGCATTCTTTCCTTTTCTCCTTTTAAACTTGCTTGCCCGGTGTCCTTCTCCGCTTGGCTCCCCCCGCCACGCTGCCCGCCAACTCTGGGGGCCTGCCGAATAAGCCCAGAGTAGTGGAAGGTAGCAGGGAGGTAAAAGAGGCTTAAATGGCTGGGTGGGCGGGTTCGAGGTAGGATGAGCAGCCAATGGCTTAACTTCTCCAGGAGGAAGGGGCAGTTCCCACCCCCCAGGCTGGAGGCTAGAATCCTTTCTCTTATCTCCGCTCTCCGGTTCTTTTGCTTTCCTTTCTGGGTGAGGGGAGGCCGGAAGCTTGGGAAAGGTGTCTGCGCCCCCTCCCCCACCGCGCCGCCCGAGTGTTGGGTGGGCCGGGCGACAGGAATCCTGGAGCGCGCCGGGGCCGCGCTGACCGCCCCGCGATCGGCGGCGCAGAGCCCGGCACCGGCGGCCCTCCCGGCGCGCGGTTTAGAAATCGCACGCGTTCCCTGTCTGTGAGTCTCCGGCGCCGGTCGTAGTGCCAGTGCCGCCGCGGGCTTTCGCCGGGCGCTCGGGCCGGCGCTCCGTGACAAAGAGTCGCCTTGGGGGAAGGGAGGCGAGGCCGCAGCGCTAGCTCCTCACCTCCCCCCACCCCGCACGTGAAGAGGAACAATTTGTTTATCTTCGGCTTCAAGAATCCTTCCCTCTTCCCCGTTCTCCCAGGGCGCCCAACCCCTTCTCCCTCCCCTCCCAGGTCGGCGCGATCCTGCCCAGTCCCGCCGGCAGCACCTTCCCTCCTCCCCTTCCTCCTTCCCCTCCACTTCTTCCTCCCCTCCCCTTCCCCCTTCCTCCTCCTCCTGCCCCTGTAGCCCGCCTTCTCCCTCCCTTTTGGAACGCGGCCTTGGGGGAGGGAGCGGGAGGCGCTTTGTCCGCCTCGCGGCCCAGCTCAACCCCCGGGGCGGGAGGGGCACTGTGCCCCTTGGCCCTGCCCCCTCCATCGCCGCCGTCCCCGCCCCGTCGCGCCTCCCATCCCCCCGCTCCCTCCTCCCCGCTCCCCCAGCAGCGGAGCCTGCCAGGAGAGCGAAGAAGGGGCTGTCTCGGTTTTGAGGAAGAACGACAGTCCCGGAGTCAGGGGGGAGGTTCTCGCTTTACAAACAGGAAGCCGAAAACCACTGACACACTGTAGCTTTTCTGATTGTAGCCGGAGGCGGGGCCGGTCCTGCTTCTGGACTGTAGCTCCGGTCCCCTTCTCCAACCTATTTCTCTCCCACCCCCGCCCACCTCGCGCCCTCCCTTGGTGGTGGAGACTCACTTGGTGAACCTGAGACCGAAGAATTTAAGAGGCACTGTAGGTTTCATCCTTGCCCACCCCGCGTCCTCTTTTCGTGTGTTGGTACACCCCACGCGCATGGATTGCGGAGAAATGAGCTCCTTTCTGGAGGCTCCAAAATTCCCGTGCCACAGAATCTCTCACAATCTATAGGGATCAAGGGCTGTTGTGGCGTTTACCTCACCAGCTGGGCGACCCTGGAACAAAAGCCAGTGCCGTTCCCAGTGCTGGGTCTATTGACCCGGCAAGATAAGTAGAGTTTGCGACCAGAAAGTTTTGGTGTTTGGGTTGTGTTCTCTCCTTTCCGTCCTGGGATGGGTGGAGGGAAGTGCGCGCGCCTGGGTTTTGATACATTCGCAGGTGGAAGCAAGCCCAGCCTCCTGACGTTACTTGGAAGGAGACAGCAAGCCCAAACCACAGCTTACTTTGGAAAATAAAAAGATGATGCTTGTTTGAATAGCCAGAGACATCAGCTGTAGATTTCACAGTGAATCCCAGTTTAGCAAATTAACAACAGATAGATTTGAAAGATGACTGCTTGAAAATAAATTTTTTCTATCGGTTTTATGACAATGATTTAGCCTACTGATTAGACTTATGTATTAATAAATACCAGAGCTATGTACAGAATAGGAGAGTATTTTGGCTTCAGCTAAAATATCATCTCTCGTTGATACCATGGGAAGTATGTATGATGAGTGTAATAAATGTAAGCCTTAACTCTTAAGCAAAGAGTGCAAGTAAATTCTGTGTACCAATAAAAAGAAAAAAAAAACAATACTTGCTCTACAAGTTATATTTCCTTTTAAAATAATTAGTTTAAAAATTAACCTTGGCTTGAAACCAGGGTATTTTAACAGTCTCTATATGAGGTAAAATCTCAAAAATAGAAGTTGTAAAGAAAATGTTTCTCTTTATTTTCTTGAATTGACTGCTGGATTATAGGTGTACTCTGGTGAGGCACAGAGCAATTAAATGTAGTTCTCAGATTGGGCTCTATTTGGAAAGCCCTAAAGAAAAACGATTATCACCCACAGCCAAATAATAATAACTGTGATATAAAAATAAAGATGAATAGGATTCTTTATTGTTTTATTGCTTTTGTTTACCTTCTTAGGATCAGTATGTCCAAAGTACTAAATATCGATTAATTCTCTTTCTGCCTGGCTTGGGCTAAGAAGGCAGTCTAATGAGGGCTTTGCCTCTTTTGATTTGTTTTCCTGTCTTACACATTTACAAGGATGGGCATGAAAAACAAAAACAAACTAGCAAACAAAAAGCAGAGCCGGTGAGGAGTAAAAAATTTTCCTTGGCTCCAGGCTGCTGCAGAGGGGGCTGGGTTCCATGTGGGTTCTCACCAGCTCTGTTGATAGAGCAGGTAGCGCAGACCTGGGTTTGAAGCTGCAGTACCTCAGATATTAGGTCCGTTCTGAACATGGAATCAGATGATCCCACCCGAACTGCCACCACTTTATTGACACAGAAGTTTTTTTCCTCCTCTCAAAGACACGGCGAAAACTATTGACTTCACCTATCAGAGAGCCTCAGTTGAAAAGATACTTTTTTTTTTTTTGAGATGGAGTCTTGTTCTGTCCCCCAGGCTGGAGTGCAGTGGCTGATCTCGGCTCACTGCAACCACAGCCTCCCGAGTTCAAGCGATTCTCCTGCCTCAGCCTCCGGAGTAGATGGGACTACAGGTGCCTGCGACCAGGCCCGGCTAATTGTTTTGTATTTTTAGTAGAGCTGGGGTTTCACTGTGTTAGCCAGGAGGGTCACTCTCTCCTGACCTCGTGATCCGCCCGCCTCGACCTACCAAAGCTCTAGGATTACAGGGTGAGCCACCGCGCCCAGCCTGAAAAGATGTCTTTTAATTATTTGTGGTAACAAAAGGGTGGGCATTGTTTATTTGCTGTATTTGGAACTGAAGTTCTGGTTAAAATTTTAAGGTAAATTTCAGTTGACAAGTTCATTTTCAAGCCCAAAGATAGGTTGACCTGACTGGAATGTAATTGTGCAGGCGCATCGGAAAGCATGTCAGTGCACAGTTTTCAGAATTTCAAAATGGTGATAGTCTTACTTGACCTAGGTAAGACCCATATTGTTTTCATTACCTTTTCACTGCATTAGCACCATTGTAACTTTCAGAATGTGGGGCTTAAATCTATATAAAGCTTACAGACTGCATAAATTGTTGCGACCCCTGCTCTGAAGAGCTTATCACATAAAATTCATAAAACGCATTTGATAATGCATTAAATATCGAGAATTGGAGACAACTACAACCCAGCCAAAATGTTCCATTCATTCCTGGAGTAGATTTAGGAAATGTCAACATAGTAGTCCAGGGCTAACTCTCCTTGTAAATGAAGCTGGCTTCCCACTTCTTACCCTGTTGAAGGTAAATTACTGGCTCTGTATCAATTTTTTGGCAAGTTCATCTTATCAAGTTATTTCTACATCTTCCCTCTGAGAAGCTTTTCTTGGGCTTATCCTGTCCTGCTGCTAGCGTGGGTCACAGGACAACGTCTTTTGAAAAGCTTTCCTTTGCCCAACACCGTGTGCCTTGAGTTTGGTGGAAAACTTTTTGAAATTTCACTTTTCTGTCCATCACGTTTTTTTCTTTTAATTCTCAAGAAGCATATTTTAAAGCTCCAATACATATTTAATTCTGTTATGTTCTTTGGCTGTGGTACATTTTATTTAGTACTGGGCAGCCAGTGATCAGAAAAGTAGAAGCAGAGTTAGTTAACCATTAATCAAAATCTACAAAATGCTCTTCAAGCTGAGTTCCTCCCCAGGGAAGCCAATTTTTCAGGAAGCTAGTATGCTTGATACTTTCTACCCTGTCTCATTAGAACTATAAGGGCAAACTTTA